GGGGGGGGGGGTGAACCCCCCTTTAACCCCCCCCACGGAGGCTTCCACACACACCCCCCCCCAGCCCCCCAGGGCCTCCCGTTTACCGAGCTGCTGCGACAGGCACCGGAGGTACTGCCGGCTGTCCTCGCTGAAGGCCTGCAGCAGCTTCACCGCTTGCTGTAGTTCGTCGAGCTGCCAAACCAAAGCCCCCCACACACACACACACAAAAAAAAGATGAAAAACGGCTAAATCCTGACCGGGGGGAGAACGCTCTTCCCCTCCAACAGCCCAGACCCGCTCACCACAAGCTCCATGCAGCTCAAGACCTCCCCCTGGTCATCCAGGATCTTCTGGTAGTCGGGTTTGCTGCCGAGGACTTCGGCCTGAGACGTCCGGAGGTAATTGGGAGGCTCCGCCTGCCCTCCCTTCCTCTCGCACTCCTCCAGCTGCCTGCGAACCAGAAGCCGTCGATCCGTGAGGCAAAGGGCCGACGGCATCATCTAAATCGGTTTCTTTTCAAATCCCAAACGGCTTAAGACGGGGGGGGGGGCAACAATCCAGACCTGGACGTTCCCTCGGCCCTTTCCTGGTAGCGCAGCAAGAGCTGATCCCAGGAGCGACATTCGGCAGCGAACCTGCGGGGCGAGAGGAGAGAACGGGTCCGTACCCCGGGGTATCCCTCTGTAAAGCTCAACTACGGCGCAGGCTCGTAGAAAAAAAACAGCCGAAGAATTAAATACACCCAAAATACCCTCTGGGAAGAGGTGTCCAAACCCGTATTGGGCGTTGAGAGCTTTAGCTCACACAGGCGGTCGACCTTACCTGGCGATGTACTCCTTCACTTGGGCCACTGACTCATCCAAAGCCGAGTCCGGTAAAATCCTAAAGCGCAGATAACATCGTCAGGACGACACAGGGAGATCTATACGTTCCGCACGTATGTCACGGAGGGCGCTGGTGCCTGCTCAGCGCTTACGCAGCCACGCTGAATGCTTAGAATTGCAGAGTACGAAGGAGGAAAGCCTCCTCGGCCTCCTCAACGCCCCCCGAATATTCACTGAACTGCTTGTCTAGTGACGGCATCAGCCCCCCAAATCCTCGCGGCCACGGGCTGTGGGTAAAACCCTGCAAATTTAGATGACTGTAAAGCATCTCCGTAAAGCAAAAGGAGGAAAAAAAAAGGATCGTGGAGTGGTAAGAGTGCTCTGGGTGGGAAGGGCGCTGGTGCCTGCTCAGCGCTTACGCAGCCACGCTGAATGCTTAGAATTGCAGAGTACGAAGGAGGAAAGCCTCCTCGGCCTCCTCAACGCCCCCCGAATATTCACTGAACTGCTTGTCTAGCGACGGCATCAGCCCCCCAAATCCTCGCGGCCACGGGCTGTGGGTAAACCCCTGCAAATTTAGATGACTGTAAAGCATCTCCGTAAAGCAAAAGGAGGAAAAAAAAAGGATCGTGGAGTGGTAAGAGTGCTCTGGGTGGGAAGGGACCTTAGAGCTCATCCCCTTCCACCCCCCTTGCCGCGGGCAGGGACACCTTCCACCAGATCAGGTCACCCGGAGCCCCGTCCAGCTTGACCTTGAACGTTTCCAGGGAAGGGGCAGCCACAACTTCTCTGGGCAACCTCTTCCACTGTCTCGCCACCCTCACAGTAGAGAATTTCCTCCCACTATCTGATCTAAACCCACCCTCTTTCCTGCCACTACGCTCCCCCCATCTTTCCTGTGGGCCCCCCTGAAGGCCGCTCAAAGGTCTCCCCGGGGCTTCTCTTCTCTAGGCTAAACGACCCCAGCTACACGATCCCCCAAATACACGATCCTCGTTATCCGTGTGCATATACCTGTGACTTGTATATATATATTTATGCATTCGTTTTAACAGGCAAAATCTTACTCGGTCCGGCTTTGATTTACGAACCGCTCCCCTCTCCAGATCCTGCGTGTGTACAACGGGATGATACAGTGGGTTTCTCTCCCATTGAAAAGCTTCACACACACACACCCCCCCCCTGCTGGCACAGCTGCAGGGTTATCAGCCTTTCCTCGCTGGCTCCGTTATCGTTGCCTGGATGAGGGAAGCCAGCTAATTAAAACGTGTACATGACCCCAAAGCATTTTGACACAACTGGGTTCGGAAGGTTTCTGCTGGCAGGGCGAGGTCCTCCTACGCGGCAGCGGATGCGTTTTGTGTTCAGGCTACCCCCTTCTCCGGCCCCGCCGCCCCCAAAAGCGATACCGACTCACTGCTTACACTCCACACGGGACGCCTTCGGCGGAGCCCTTACCCTTTAGGGTCTTCTACGCAGCTCTTCAGTGTCCCGTCTCGTTTCAACTTCTGCACGTACCGCTTCAGGTCTTCTGAAACCGAGTGCACTGGAGACGAAGACAAAACAAAACGGGACAAACCAACGCTCGCACCCACTGCCTAGAAAATCACCAGTACCGAGAAACGAAGCTGCTTCCCGACCTGCAGATGCTGCTCCGATTCCTTATCGGAAGGCGTTCTCGTTATTACTTCCACTGTTTCTGAAAGAATAACTCATCTCTGGGGCCACGGTTTACTTCAGCGTGCCCGTTTGCCTTCCCTCCCAGAACCTGTGAGCATCCCAAAAACATCACTCCCGTGTTTTTGGCTGCACCCACCCCTTCTGGAAGACGGCTAGTTTCATTTTGAGAGGATGCGAGGGAAGGGCCGGTATTTTTAAGTTCAGGATTACCCTTGCTGACGCAAACAGCACACCTTACCGTTAGCTTTGAAAGCCTCAGGGCTAAAGCCGTCAGTTTGCTTCAAGACGTGTTCGAGCTTCTGTGCAGAAAACTAAGAGAAGGTAGAAAAGAACGTCTTGGCGCCCTTCCCCGAGAAGTACGACAAAGCCCGTAGGAAGATTCGTTACGGAAGGAGAAAGGAGCCCCTCCTCCCCTCGCACGTATTTCACAACTCGGTTATACAAATCAGAACGTACGTTTAGTGGCAGAAGAAAGGCAAGAGAAAAACAATTCACTTTTTTAAAAGAGAGGACCTTACCTGGAAACTGGACAACAGCAGCACAGAAAGCCGGTCTATCTCCGGCAGATCCAGGCTAATTGATTTGCTTAATTCTGAAAAATCAGAACAAAATTGTTTAAGAACAATTAAATTCACACCGAGCTGCAAACGGCTGGAATGTTCCTGAAAGACACTAAAAGCTGTCGTTGTATAGGAGCGCGGTTTGCAGGATATGGAAGGAGCAGGGAAAAAGAGAGAGAAGCAGAGTTTCTAACAGGGAAAAGTCACACTTAAGGCTCAACCATGGAAATAAAAAGGCAGAGACTGCAAACCACTGGTCTACAGAAGCCGTTAATGCAGCATCTCCTTTTATCCTCAAGTACCTGGACCTCCGAGATCACTGCCAACATGGACGTCAGTGGCTACTAGTTAGGAATAAGGCAATTAGACGGTCGTTACCCTAAAGGTCGTGCCATGAAATTAAATTTCAACTTGCTGCAGGCTGCCCTACAAGTTTCGAGAGAGGCCTTGATAAAGGGAAGAAGCGGAGCGCGTACCAGTGACATCTTGGTGAACAGGAGGCAGAGACTTTCGGCGTTTTGTCCCCTTCAGGCTCGAGCGACACCAAGAGCGACGCTTGGCTTCAGGAGTGGCGACGAGCGGTCTCGGGGACAAGTTAAAAGAACTCAGCGTATGGTCTTTCCTGGGACTGCTTCTCCAGGGAGACAGCCTCTTGGGACTAGGTCCGAGGGGGCTTTTCCTGAGGGTAGGACTTCCGTGGGATCTTTTCCTCATAGCCGCTCCGGCGGTCTCACAGGGACTAAGGTTCTTCCTGCTAACAGCAGTTACGTCCGGTGGCTTTAGGAACTGCTCAGGATCCACTTTCTTCTCTCCAGGGCCAGGATCTGAGAAAACCAGCCACAGGACAGCCTCTTGGGACTAGGTCCGAGGGGGCTTTTCCTGAGGGTAGGACTTCCGTGGGATCTTTTCCTCATAGCCGCTCCGGCGGTCTCACAGGGACTAAGGTTCTTCCTGCTAACAGCAGTTACGTCCGGTGGCTTTAGGAACTGCTCAGGATCCACTTTCTTCTCTCCAGGGCCAGGATCTGAGAAACCCAGCCACAATCAGCACGTTAGCAGGGTCAAGTGAGAGGAAAGGCTCTTTCCCAGGGATTCAGAAGCACCGAACCCGTTCTTCGCGCTTTGCTTTCTAGCTCGGAGCAACAGCAGCGCCGAGGCGCGGCGGCTAGATCAAC